CAGCTCTTTAAGGACTTCCTGAAAGGGCTTTCAAGCACCGCGTCTCGTCAGTATATTACTCGCAGGCCAACGGGTTGGTTCGAAGTTTCAACCGGTGTCTTAAGGACTTCATTCAACTATTCATATTGGAAAGTCGCCTGCTGAAAAAAGCTGTCGTGGACTATCTGGGTGTGTATCGGTCTACCCCACACTCAACCACCTAACTGCTGCCCTCCAAACTGCTGCACGGTTGCCAGTCAAGGACCCGCTTGATATCCTGGGCCTGCCATGAGGGAACATCTTCCAGCAGCCAGCCTCGGATATGGAACGGCCACGTGGTTAGGTCCAAGCCAGCCAGCGTTCAGTGAAGCCATACATAGATGCCAAACGAGGTGCATGGACTTTGAAGTTCAAGTAGGGTGACTACGCGAGTGTGCACAAGCTTACAAGTGTCGGAAAGGGACAGCTGTCCTACTCCCAGCCGTTAAAGATTGTCAAGCAGCTGGGTCCGGGCACGTTTCGACTTGAAGACAGACGGAGTTGGAATGCGTCAAAGTTGGTGTTACTTCCCAGGGAATGCCTTGCTGGCAGAGGTCAGCAGCGGCTACACTTGCTGCCCATTCCCGGAGGCAGAAGCACAGACCCGTTTGGAGAGTCTGTGGAGCTCAATCCTGGAGACCAAAGCACAGACCCGGTTTTTGGAGCTGTGGAGCCCGCAGTGACGACAGCACGACAGCCGGAGGCCATGTCGCATGGAGCACAAGCACAAGGTCTCGCATCCGGCAGCAGGCTACCATCTACGAAGTCACGATGAATGCCTGCACATTTCCAGGACTTTTGCATGTGAAGCAACTTTGCAGTTTTAATTAAGTTCCTGTTTTTACTTGTTTTTGTTCTTAGGAGGGGATGATGGTGTGTTCTTGTTAAGTTGTCAACATTGTTCTTATCCCTCATCTCATCTGGCAACTGTGTTATACACATTAATTTTTGTTGCTCATGAAAAGTAAAGCGCACCTCGATCACTGTTTGAATGGGCAGTCTTTCTTCCCTTCATGTCCTCAAGACACCAACAACGCTGCCGTTGTTTGCAAATTCATCCTTAACAACATTGATTCATAGGTAAACAAAATCTGGTGACCATAATGACGGTCATGAACACATTTTAACAAATAGGAACTGTAGTCACTCCTAAACAGCTCCAAACAATAATGCCAAACTCAACTTTCGAGCATACATTAAAGGTATAAAGTTTAGCAAGGCATGATGGCTCTTCCAACTTATGAGTTATACAAGAAAACGACCCAATAAGGTGCAAAACACAAATAACCACATGTGACATATGTTTATTAAAAGTAAGGAAAGAATCTGCGTAGACTTCCGAATTCCGGAAGCAATCTTCTCGGTGAGAGGGTTCATCATCTAGTTTATTAACGAAATAAACTATACTTCATGTCAGCAACAAACTACAGCAATTTGGAATGTTTTATAGAGAGATAAAGATCTTTGACAAAAATATTGAACAACAAACATCCAAAAGCAGATCCCTGAGGAATTCTGGGTGAGATATGTATTATCTCGAGAAAACACCACCAATGCAAACTTAGTGCATCTAGAAATGTAGCTCAGAAACGAGAAACCTAATGATAGACATACCTTCCTATAGTGAAAGTCTATTAACTGCTAATATGTTGCGATTCCCAAAATGAAATGCTTTGCTCCAGTCAAAATAAACCATGCGAATATTCCCACAGTTCACAACTATGGGACCAACGTAACAGAAATGTGTTACTAAGCTAGTCTCAACTGACCCTGACTTAACAAAGCTATGTTGTGATTTGTTTAATATTTCTTTTAAAATAGCTAGGTAGGTACACATATAATTTACTCTTGAAAAGTTTTGAAAATCTAGACACTAAATAAGCAGGTCTTTAATTTGTAACATCTACCAAGCCTTCCGATTTGAAAATGGGCACTGTGATGGTTGATCCTTATTTTTCTGAGCAAATACCAATTTGTAATGACAAATTGATTTATTGCTCTGATGCTAGTAAAAAAAAAAAGTTCAGAACAGCTTTAACAATACACGGTTGTATGTTAGCAGGTTGTGACAAAAGTTCGAATTTAGAATGTCTAATTCATTATTTTACTACGGAATGATCGATGCTGAAAGTGGCAAGAGCATTATCGGTCTTCTCAAAAACTGTTATATTATGTGTCCATGGGTGAGTGTTTGCAGATTTTGTGTCATTCAGGAATACGCTTGAAAAACATGACAAAAAGGGCTCACAGACTACTAGGTACATTGGAATCGGTGCAAAAACCAGTATCCTTTGACAACATAATGCACTTAGTTTTCATGCCCAGTGCGTTATTTTTATATTTCCAAGCATTGTTGTCGTCCTTGTCGTCGTCTTGCAAGACGACGACAAGGACAAAAACAGTTACCCGTGATCAAGCGGCCGAACTGGCCTTGAAACGTCGGGCTCCGTATCAATTTTTGGTTAGAGTTTTCCTTTCATTCATTGTCATTCCTAACCAGGTGGATGTCCACCGAAAGGTTTACGTTTAAGTATAACCCTATTGCACTTGTGTTCAACCAGTCCCTAAATATGCCTGAGAATTTGGGCTCTTGTTCATACAATGCTTCTATACAAAATAAAGGCACAAAACTAAACAACAAAATTTATTTTTAGAAGATGTGGCTGACATGATAGCTTCAGTGCAATAAAGAAGTATCGTTGATATGATTTCCCCAGAAATGTCTTCTTAAAGGGCAACTACGGTCAAAAACGACGCCAAAATAAATGGCTGGTATCGCTTTAATGGCACAAAATATGATCACAGCCGAAATATTTTGCAAAGGGAAGCCACGTATTCCACTAAAACCGATTTTAAAGACCCGACCGGCTGCTATTTAGCGGGCAACAAGTGGGTTAGCTTTTAGTCAACGGACACTGGTTCAACACCCCCGTGACGTCGTGTCGCTGTGGAGCTGTGGTTGATTCCGCACTAGTTCCACACGTTGTACTGTGCACTGCAGCATCACGGTGACGTCGCGTCGTGGCAGTATGGCAGATGATCAGTGTTACCATCCCCCTAGCAGATTGTTTTGGTTTTGCCATATACGCCCAAAACCAAATTTTGAGCCGTGATATTTATGAAACTACACAATATTAAAAACCAGATTACACCTTGTAATTCAGGGACATAACCTGAGCTAAAAAGAGTCATAATCTCGAATTTAAAAATTTTGACTAGAGTTGCCCTTTAAGGCCCGTTCACACCCTTGCGACTGCTAGCGACCTCTTAAACCTGGGTTCCTTAAAACTTCTTAAACCAGAGAACACACCGGCGCCATCTATTGGGAAGCAGTGTAAACTCGGCGGTCCGGCATATTTGTTTTTATTTCTCGTGCATTATCCTTTCTTTTTTGGCTCGAAAAACTTTTGTCAATGTTATAAACGAGCCTTTCTATGGGTATTACGCACATTTGACCTCGGAAATCCCGCAAAACCTTCGCTTTTGGGAAATGCAGTTCTAGGGTCACCGCATAGATGGCGCCACAATGTCAGTGTGTTCCCTCATTCTAGAAACATTTAAGAAGTTGTAAGAGATCTCGTCTCTCTCAGTCGTACTCGGTCGCAAGAGTGTGAACGGGCCTTTAACCCTTTAACCTCCCGGCCCGAGCTGCACTCGACATGGAAGGTTGTGCCAATATCGCCGATGACGAGTCACACTCGTCCAGCCAAAATGAGGGTTTGTTCTCACTGCCAAACACGATACAGGTTCGTCCATCGGCTTTAGTTTCAATTTTCAACACTGGAGGGTAGGAGAGGTCGCGCAAATATAGCGTGTTTTCGCTTTTGGCGCGTATCTAGTCTTTGCAACAGTGATCAGAATCGGCAGGACGCTTGAGTGATGCCGGTGACGGCCCTCGGAAACGGGCTCTCTCTTGCGGCAGTTTGAACAGTGGCGACGATGAAGACATCGAATTTTTCTCTGGAAGTGAGTCGGACATGGATTTGGAATACGAAACGGACTTAGACGACGTCCACAGTGACGAAAACGACGACGCGCTGGGTAGTGTTCGAGTGTGGCAACACGTAAACCGCGTAAACTCTGAAAACCCGCCGCCCACGCCTCCGAGGTTTCCCGTTTTGTGCAGTGCCTGGGATTCTGCGGCAACCCACTGACGAAAAAAACATTCTCGGCTGGTTCGAGGTTTTCTTTTATTGGGACCTTGTCATTGTGACAGGGACAAACCGCTACGCGGTCCCGCATTTCGCAGCGCGGGGTTCTTTATGGAAACCGGTGGACCGCGGAGAGATGATACTGTTCCTTGAGCTAATAATTTTGCAAGGAATCGTTGGCAAACCGCAAGTTGAGATCTATTTGTTAGCGCTAGTGCAGAGAAACGTCTAGGCACTTGATCTTTTGTTACGGTGCGTATGTTCAAATAAATACTGCGCATTTCAGCACGTGTTATTTTATTACTCTTACATGCACCGAGGGAAAGCTTCCATAAAAATCAACTTTTTCTTTTAAAAGTTTTGTGTTAATACCAATCAAGTAATGTATTTGTAATATCAGAACGACGTAAGAAACCATATGTAGAAATGAAATTTGGGAAAGTTTGAAAATTTTTTTCGAAAATAACTTGGTGGTTAAAGGGTTAAAACTACTGTGCAGCATACATTCAAGCAAAACAAGATTGGACATGGCAACGTTATTGTACCCATCACATCTAATACCACAAAGATGATATACCACTGACAAAGAGTGGAATTCAAGTGTAAAACTTTTATGCTTTCCAGCACTGTCCTTACTTTTTTCATGTACAGGTAAAGGTTGGAATTAGTTGTTGTTGAATATTTGTTCAACTGCTGGGATTGGCTGACCTTACTGTTTTGTTATAGGCTATAATTACAGTCATGCATGGATAGTGATTTCCTTATGTGGGTTCAGCTATAATGTGTATTAGAAGGGTTTGTAATATTTGTTGGAACTTGCACCGTTTCTAGGACTATCGGCAATGTCCGGGTCAGCATGCAAATATGGGACACCGCAGGGCAGGAGAGGTTCAGAGCAATGGTAAGCTTCATTCTAGAATGAAACACTAGTCTTCTTTCCCACTGTGATCACTAAAAACTGAACTAATTACTGAACCAAATTTTTCCTTAACTTGGCTCAGGAATGAGTGATGTCTTCAGCATGTCTTTGTTTCATGCTTATTTCTGTATAACATAAACAATTATGAAATAAAGCACCCTTCAAGTACTATTTATCATAAAGACATAGGGGTGTCATGCCTATTTTTTTTTTTTTTCAGTTGAATTCATATATGTGGTAGCAAAACATGTCCATCCACCAAAATAAATCTTACATACAAAAAAAAAATGTTTTTGTTAAAAAAATTGTCTGAGGAGGCGGAACTGATTTTTCTGATTGCGCGCAGACACAAATATTAGGGTCACAGGAATAAGAAATACATTTTCTACAACGTAAATATTTTTCTGTATAAAGCGTGCCAATTACTCAACCTGAAGCAGTCAGATTTTAGTTTATTCAAGTTTATATTTGAAGTGAAATGACATGACAAACTTGGCCTCTTGTGAAACTCTTTCATATTTATGCATATTCAGTTTCTAGGCAGAAACGTTTTGTACAGAGGATTTCATGCTTTGTTCACTTTTAACAAAATAGTTACGCTCAACTATTCTGTTTTTTCGTATTGCACCCGGAAGTTTCGAAATATTGAAAAAGTCATAATTGTGCTATTTTTGTGCGGAAATTAAAAATAAATAATCATCCTCAACTTTCTTTAAGTTTCTTTTGATGGACTGTTAGAAATGGGTAATTCAAAGTCTGCAAACATGTTGTTGCAGTCAGCTACTGTTTCAGGCTTTCTGGCGCATTGCCTATTGGTACTCGAACACTACATCCACAGTGGCCGTAGTTGATCGGTTTATATCCCAAACATGATGAAGCATTATACAAAGAAAACGAAAGAACCTGTGAGTTCCCTTATTAGTGATGTGTCTGATATTGCGTATGGAAACTGAACTTTGCAGCACATTCAGTCCTTAGGATGTTTTGCTTGTTTGATTGCACTGCACTGCTGTACTTTCCCAGGGTATGCATTATACTCAGTCTATAATTACAATAGATTGTAGCGGGCATTACAAGCTATGTCAGCCAATTTAGTGTATTGAGTGACAACGCATCACTGCACCCCTCTCAAAAATCATGTGACAGTCACAGCGTTAAATTGACTTCTATAGATCGTAGCATTGTCTGTGGTCCATCGTAAGGTAAAACGGAGCATATGAGCACGAGACGTTAGGAATCTTACGCCCCAACCAATGGCGGGCGTGGCGAGGGTGGAACAATAGTAGGTTCTGTTTAAAAAAGAAAAGAAAAAGGGACGAAGAAGTAAAAAGCTAGTTAGCGTCCTTGGACCAGCGTTGCACCTTCGTGCAAGTGACGCCCCTGGTGTTCATAATGCCACTGCGCACTGGGTGATTGTCAGCAGTGCACCCGGCTTCTGCGCTGGTGGACGGGGTTGATCCCTGGCATTGGTTGCCATACTTTTCAAGACCATTTAGCGGTTGTGGACTGACTGACCTACACATTTATTGCTTACGCCACTCCTGAGGTTGGTTGGCCGTATAAAGCTACCGCACTGAAATTAAAATTAAAAGCAGTTTAGAGGAGTAGAAAGAAAACAGAAAATGGTGGAAACGCAAGTATTTCACGGCGTCTCTATTCACCATATAGTTTGTTTCATCTTCGGTTGGAGCACAGTCGGAGGCTCAAACACACACAACCGTGAAGACACATACTAAAAGAGCACACAGGACACTCGCCACCCTTGATTGGTTTAGCCGATAAAAGAACGCGTACAGAAAGATTACAAAACACTATGATGTCGCGCTTTTGAAACTTTGGTCTTGTTGGCTCGTAAGTCAACTGCGCTTTGACTTAAGGTGAAGCAAAGAATTGAAATCGCTTGTCAGTCACGCTGGCCCCGTCGTCATCTGAATTTCCGGACGAGGTTGGCAATGTCGGGAGCTAAAAATTTTGAGAAAAATTTTCGAATTAGTAGGATAACGGCTACTGTGGTAAGACAGAACCAGTTTTTTTTGCTCCTGATGATATCACATGATTATCATGTCTACCACATGCCTCTGTGCCTTGGCTACAGTGTCCTGTGGCACTTGTGCCGCTCACGTTAACCTCCACCGCCTCGTACGAGGGCATGTGCGTTGAGTTCCATCTCTTTGCACGAGAGTGCTGGGAGCAGCAGCTGACATGGGGGAGCGCCTGGATCAGTGTAGTTGACTCTTAAATTGTGCTCGGTACTATCTATTGCAGGTGGACCTTCTTTGGTCTTTGACTGTAGGTTGACCTCTAATATTAAAAAGCTGTGCCGGAAAAGGGGAAACAAATGTGGGTCTATATCACTAGAATAAATACAGTTATCAAGATAGTTCCCGAGCAGCAGTCAGCCGAAAGGGCTGCGAACTTAGACTGAACTTTGGTTTCAATGCCGTTGAAGTGGTCACTTTTAAAGTATGACTGCAGGTTTTGATAATATTTTCGGGTGGTTGTTCTTGCAGTGCATCATATTAGAATGTTGAGTTTGGTAGGTTCATAGAATTTGGGGGTACATATTTTTATTGATAGACATTTTAGTGGATATGCTGGTTTTTACTGGCATTTTTTAGAAATTATAGTTACAGGCCCAGTTAAAAATACCCATTGGGTCCAATTGGATTTTCCAATTGGTACCAATTGCCGAAACCATTTGTGTTTTGGAACGCCCCGTTGGAACAAATGCCAATTGGTTCAATATTACCAATTGGCTTTTTTACAATTGGCACCATGACCAACTGTGTTTTGGAACGCCCAATTGGAAATATACCAATTGGTTTTTTTCCAATTAGAATCGTGACCGACTGTGTTTTGGAACGCCCAATTGGAGAAATACCAATTGGTGTGGTTCTGAAACGGAAGCACACCAATTGGTATTTCTCCAATTGGTCTGAAATTCCCATTAGAAAACAGCCAGTTCGTACATTTCTAATTCAAACTATAAAACAATTAGAAAGATAGCTAGCAAGAGAAATTGGTTTTCTGGTGCATTAGCAATTTACACAGCCAAAGGTAGGACTCCCAAATGAAATTTCAAATTGAGCATGTCTCACATAAGTATGTCCAGATATGCCAGCTGGATATGTTTCTAACAAATAGGGTTTTACTATATACAAAACATTTGAAGCCTGTTCTGAAATAACACATTATTTTAGAAAACGCATCTTTTCTAGTCTTTTTTTATGAGTTTTTTGCAGTCACACAAAATGGTGCCAGATACCTTTGCAAAATATAAGAAACAAGCAAAATTATAAGGAGCACATTTATTACAATAGAAAAAGAAACATTAAAACCCAGTTCAGACCAAAAATGATTTTTCTTCCTTCTACCGAAAGTAGGACGATTCCTAAGAGACGCTATGACGTCATTCAGCGTTTGTTTAGTGTTCCTCCCACAGTGATGTCATAGCGTCTAGAAGGAATTGTCACCTAGTTCGGGTAAAAGCAAAAAGAAATTTTTAAAGTGTTCAAACTAATGGTCGTCCATGGTTGCATCCTCCTCTTGAGCAGTGTCAATAGCAGCAGCTTGCAGCCTAGAACGAAAACAGGCAACAGAAATTAGTAACCCAGGAACGACTGAGATCCAGCGTTCCTATTCTTTTCCAAGCTGTGTCACATCACCAATGTCCTATGGTACTAGTATATGCATCTATGCAGCGTGACATGGGACCTCAAGCTACTTGAAGGGCACATTATGTACGAGTTTCAAGATGCCTAGCTTGCATTTGTTTATATCAAGAAACTGTGCATTCGAAAGCAGACATTTTAACCAAATTGTTCAGTAACTGCACTTTACTTTGTCTGAGCAAAAGAGAAAAAACACTAGAAGGAAAGCACTCATTTAGTTTATCAATATGCAACAAGTTAGGCCGTTACCTTCTAGCAGGAATGCCAGTCGGTATCATGACAGGGGTAAAACATGAAAGCAGAGAAATCAATGAAAGCTAGAGAATAATAAGGCTTCAGTTAGTATGGGCTTCTGAATTATGATAGTGATCCAAGGCTTGTCGAAAATTTTAAAAAGGATAAACCGCTCACAAGTCTAACACCTGGCAGCAGAAAGTTGTGTGTTGTCCATTCAATTTGTTAGTTTTCTGCCATCTTAAGTTTCTACATCAAAATTAGTCCATTTTTACATACCAAGTGAGAAATTTTATATTTTGTTATCAGCTGAGAGGGGATCCAAAGCTTTGCAGTCAGTCGAATTTGGGGATTTTACATGCCAACCAACGACGAGCACCTGGCACGCCCCAGCGGAGGTCTGAGAATTAATTTGGACCACCTTGGCATCTTTTGACATGCAACCGAAAGCTCGGACACACGGAGCCTTCTCCGCAATAGGCCTCCGTCAAATTGCGGGCACCTCGGCCGGGATTCGGACCCGCCACCTGGGCATCCGTAGGCCGGTGCTTTGCTTTGGAGCCACAGAGGCAGCTTAAGGCTTTGCAGTGCGACCATTCTTTTCAACAATTTTGACTGCAAAGAACTATTCGTTCTGTGCACACTGGATCTCGGAAAGGATACAATTGTCGTTATTTGCATGTGTGAGGCTAACATGCCCTTGATTGCAATGAGAACAGAGCTAGCTTTATTCTCACAGCTATCCGAATTCAAAGGAATATTTATGATAGCATGCTAGCTGCATTCTGCACAATGGAAGCATTTAATAATTTACAAATATTGCAAGCAACACGTGGCAATAAAAAGGGTGTTAAGAGCAACCTAAAGAAAAACAGCCAATATATTGAAGGCTCAAATACTGAATGAGGAAATAGTGAGACACTAGAAAACTGTTTGCTACAATGGAAAGCGTTTTACAATGCACTGTGTGCACTGCACGGCAAACTTTTTCCGTAACGCGAACGTGCGGCAACAGTTCCAAACATAAAAGCAGTAGAACAAGCAAACTTGGCTATAAGAACACTTTAGCAAACACGGTTGACCGTGAAAATATTCAGAACTTGCTTCAAGAGT